GATTCCAGGAGACAAGGGTTTGCACTGTGTGTGATCTGGGCAAAACCACTTCTGAAGGACCATGTTCTGCTGTAACTGCTCACCTGCCAGACCTGAGTTACTCCTGTTCCTCATCACTATCCACAAGGTTTCTCCTGCCCCATGGGACCTGCTTTTCTGTATCTGGATGGACAGAATAGGGAGGAATAGGGGATTAGAGGTAGATGTTGATAGAGAAGGACATGGCCTGTGACCTGTTGAAGAACCCCCTGAGCAGAGTGCTGTTCTTTGTACCCCAGGTCCTGGAGCACACACTCCCGAGCTGTGCCCTGCTGGGCACTTCTGTCTGCCAGGGACCAACCTCAGCACACAACATCCCTGTCCAAAGGGCACCTTTGGCCCCAGGACTGGTGCCACTCGTGAGTCTGACTGTGAGCCCTGCCCAGCAGGTGAGTAGGGGCTGGAAAACATGAATTCTCCTTCCAAGTCATGATGTTCTGTGCAGCTCCTCACACTGAGGAGCTGTGTTCTGTTCGTTCTAGGCATGTATTGCTCAGCCCCAGGTCTGTCCCAGCCCTCTGGATTCTGCTATCCAGGTTATCACTGTGCCAAGGGAGCTGTCAGCCCAGCCCCCTTCAAACACAGGGTGAGTGCCAGGCAGCAGCAGCACAGCAAACCCAGTGACCTGGGGACAAGGACTGGGCTGTCACATTCTCCTGGCTCCTGCTGTCATATTTTCCAAGCATTCCTGCTCTTCATGAGGCTGCTCATGCCTTTTCCTGCTGCCCCTGAGAGCTCCTCACCCGCTCATGGGGTCAGCTGGAATATGTTGCTGATGAATTCTGGCCAGACCTGTGTTTCTGTAGATTGCACTGGAGTGTGTGGTCTAATATCCCCTCCAAAAGTTGGCTTTGGGGATAGCACAGCCAAACCTCAGCATCCCAAGGCCCTTTTTATGCCAGCCATGGCCTTTGTTTTAATTCAGAGGCAGCAAAAACTTGTAGGACCCAGCTCCTTCTGTACGTGGTGTTAAATCTCCTTCTCATGACGCTTTTTCCTCTGTGTTTTTCTGGTGCAGGTGGAATCCTCCAGCCTGGCTCTGCCTGGCAACGACATCTGCCCCGTGGGCCATTTCTGCCCCCGGGGCACAGGGTATCCCGTGCCGTGTCCTCCCGGATCCTTCTCCCCCTCGGAGGGCCTGGAGGCGGAGGAGCAGTGCCAGCCCTGCCCAGCTGGGCACTACTGCAGTGGCAAGGGGCTGTCTGAGCTGGCCCAGACCTCGCTGTGTCACCCAGGGTGTGTGAGAACAGCTCTTTGGGCAGCGACAAAGCCACAGCCGTGCTGTGTGTTAGAGCTGAGGGACACCCAAACTGACAGATCCTGGGCCTTTTCTTACCCCTTGGGTTGGGATGTTGCACCTCCTTGGTGAGCTCAGGAGATGTTTCAGAGCCTTTCCTTTTTCCCTCAGTTTGCCTGACATTCCACCCCAGGCTTATCCACAGTTTTTTCACTGTTTTCAGCTAAAAGAATTATCACTACAAATAATAGTATTACAAATAAATTACTGTTGGAAATCCCTTATTTAGCCTCATAATCACCCCTGCTGAGTATTGAATATTTTTTTCTCTCCTGTGTTCCCTTCTCCCACAAGGTGGTGCCAGAACCAGGGACAAGTTACCATTTCCAGCCTGTGCAAGGGAAGTGCCCTGAGCAATATCTGTCCATCTCAGGACATTCCTCATAGCAAGAAGCTACAGAAACTCAATTTTACATGTGCAAGAGAGTCTTAGAAGTGATTTCAGTGCAGTGTAACAAGATTTCCTGGGAAAGGATTTCTAATAACAGCTGGCTCCTGAATCTAGTGGAGAAAATCACAATTAAATTTGTCTAGAAGTGGAAGCTGAGCTCAGAATACAAGTGAGGGCTACATTTGGAGAGGATAAAAATAATGAGCCACCAAACCAGACTTCTTGGGAGTAAAGAGGGATTTGCCACATCCTAGTCAAATCTGAAATGTTCCCAAAAAATCCTTTAACCCCAGAAAGATGTTACAGCCTGGCTGTAGCAGCAGGGATTAAGGTTTGTGAGCTGGATGACAGTGAATATCACATGATTACAAATGACCCTCGACTTCCAAAATCTGAAGTCCTTGTCCCCACAACATGCTGTGCCCAGGTTGCTTTTCAACACCTCTACCATGTAACATCCATCACTGCCCATAACCTGCTGTTCAGGCTGAATAGATCTTGCTTCCAGGCAAAACAAAAAAAAAAAGAAAGGCAGCTTTGCTGTTCCTTTTCCTTAAGGACTGAGAATTGTTTCTTCTTTGGGAACGACATGGTTTGAATCCCTGTCTGCAGCAGATGATGGGATCAGAGCTCTCATTGTCCTTGTTGCTCAGCTCTTAGAACTGTTGTAATTTTTGTATTTCCTCATCTTTACTTGAAGTGAGGGTGTGGGAGGGAAGTGGTAAAGGGAAGAGTCACTGATGGCATTAAAGCAGGGGCCTGCAAAAGGACTTGGGGTTAAAAAGAGGCTCAGCAAAGGCAGCTGGAACTGAACACTTGGGCCCTGTGTTTTGAAGTAAAAATACTTTAGTTTTCAAAGGCTTTTCCTTCTAGAATGAGAACACTTTCTAGGCAGCTTAGAGTAAAAAAAAAAAGCCTTTTACCAGGATTTTCAGGTGGGCACCAACTTACAGATGGGGGGGGTTGAAGTTGTCATCCACACTGAAACAGCCTGCATTTTCAAGGGGTGTCTCCCCCATTTAATGCCTCTGAGTGGGGCTGGGAGCTGTTCCAGCCTGAATTCTCTCTCTCCAGGTATGTTTGCCTGGAAGGAAACTCTGCTCCTTGCCCTTCTGATGGGATCCATGGATACAGATGTCCCAGAGGCTTCTACTGCCCCGCGGGCAGCGGGCTGGAGCTGCCCTGTGAGCCTGGCACCTTCAGCCCCGTGCCTGGGGCAGGGACCTGCCTGCCCTGCCCACCTGGAATGGCCTGTGGAAGTGCTGCCACTGTGGAGCCCCTCACCTGCCCCAGAGGTGAGAATCAGGTGTGCAGGAAAACTCTGAACATGATGGGAGGAGGTGGGATGGATGGCCAGAACCCTGCTGGCTGAACCAGAGCAGGGGTTCCTTCAGGGAATGGGGTGTTTGCTCAGCATTCCCACCTCTCTCTCTCCTGTCTTCATTCCCCTCTCCATGTGCAGGTTATTACTGCCCAGCTGGAACTGCTGCCCCACTGCCGTGTCCCGAGGGGACTCTGAACACCTTGGAGGGGGCACTGGCCCCCACTGCCTGCAGGCTGTGCCCAGTGGGCAGGTACTGCAGGGGGGAGGCCAACTGGGAACCAGATGGTGAGTTTGGTTAATAACCCACCCCACAGCACAGGGGTTGGATATTCAGGATGCAGGGAATTAGAAAATATCTTTGTGAACAGAGTAAAGGTTATTGGAGGGCACCCTTCACCCTGTGCCTAATCAGCCACTTCTCTTTCCCTGCCTCATTCTTTTCACTGAGCATTTATTTTGGATGTTGTTTTGGATGTTAGTGCATTGCTTTTCCTTCTCTCCCTTTGTTTTTTTCTGCTTTCTCTTCCTTTAATACTTTTATTGCTGTTCTTTCTGTCCTCTTAAATGCTTCCCCTCCCATTTGAGCACAGAGTGATTGTCACTGGGGCAAAATGCCAAGGCTGGATACCTGGAAAGAAGAGAGGCAGGACTCTTCCCACAGGAAACAAATGATAGGGAACTCGTTAGAGAACTGATAAGGTAAGCAAATGCCAGATGAGATCAGTGCAAGTAAAGAAAGGAAGTCATAGAGGCCAAAGGTTAATGAGAGGGAGGAAAGGCAAACTAAAGGTGAACTGCCCAGGGTATCAGCAGTGACAAAATAGGATAAGGATGGGATTTGGCTTCTCTTCTGAGTTATCTGCCTATTTCTGAGGGTTTGAGGAGGTGCCACCCTCTCTGTTGTGCCCTGGCAGGTCTGTGCTCAGCTGGGTACTACTGTGAGGGAGGAGCCACTGATGCCACTCCACGTGGGACACCTGCCTCCCCTCTCAGTGGGCCCTGCCCAGCCGGGCACTACTGCCCAGAGGGAACCCATTTCCCAGTTGCCTGCCCCGCTGGCACCCTGAACAACGCCACGGGTGAGTGTGAGCTCACCCACGGGTCTGGCATCGCTGAGCAGCTGCCCCTTGGCCAGGCCTGATGGTACCCATGTGCTGCTGGTGCTGTTCTGTGCTGGGTGTTCCTCCACCTCCCCTCCTCTCTGGCCATGATCTTTGGTTTGCCCTCAGGTGGTGCCTCCCCACAGAGCTGTGTGCCCTGCTACCCCGGCTCCTTCTGTGCTGCTGCTGGGCTCAGTTCTCCAACAGGACCCTGTTCTGAGGGGTTTTACTGCCCAGCAAACTCCAGCTCTGTCAGCCCCACAGCATTGCTCTGCCCCAAGGTACTGCTGAGGGGTGGGGGAAGGAGAGGGGACTCAGCTCTGGGCAGGTCCCACAGTGGCAAAGGGTCTCACACACCTCATTGACACGTTGATTGCACCCACACAGAGTGTTGCCCGAGGTTTTAGTGACACAGACCCTGAGTTTGGCATCACCTCCATGAAATCTCTGTCCTTGCAGGGTCACTTCTGCCAGTCAGGGACAGCCCAGCCAACACCATGTCCTGCTGGAGAGTACCAGCCATCCACAGGCTCTGCATCCTGCATCCCCTGCCAGAGAGGGTTCTACTGCCAGGACCTGGTGACAGGAGACCCCAAGCGCTGCCCACCCCATTCTTACTGTCCCACAGGTACACTGGAACTTGCATGCCAAGGGTTCACTGTGATCCCAGAGAGGTACAACCCTCATGCTTGAATTCCTGCAGGCAGTGAGGTGGCAACGGGCCAGCATGTCCTGGGAGTCATTTGCCACGCTCTGATCCAGGTCAAGAGCCTTGTCAGACCACAACAGCCTAGCTGAGGTTTGTTGTTGTCTCTGTGGTCTCCTTTCCAGGCACACAAGTTCCTCTCCCATGTCCTGAAGGCACCTTCACTCCTGGAAACATGACTGGCCTCTGGAATGAGAAGGAATGTCTGCCTTGCTTACCTGGTCACTACTGCAGGTTATGAATCATTTCAGTCTGGCTTGTTTCTCACTTTGACATCCTTGGTTGGTGCTGATAAGTGGGTGCTAAGCACAAATCCATCTAAAGCAGTTCATGTTTATGGAACTTGAACTCAGAAGTGTCTGGCTCACTTTAGTCATCTCCATATGGAAAAACTGAGCTGTTTTGTCTCTCCTTTCAGTGTAAGAAGTTATTTTTCATTGCAGAGTTCACTGCATCGATACTTGCTCTGCTTCTGCCCCACATCAGCAGCAGTGGGGGAGTGTATGTGGACTCTTGCTGTTCTCTCTGCTCCAGGCACGGGCAGCTGGAGGGGAAATGTGCTGCTGGATATTTCTGCCTGGCTGGGAGCTCCCAGGCTGCTCCTCAGGGCCACAGCTTCTCCTGGCGCTTCCTGGCCGGGTGTCGCTGGGGCCAGGTGTGTGCAGGGCTGTGTCCTGCAGGTGAGTGAGGACCTCGGGGGGTATTTAGGGTCTGGAATTATTGGCTTGCTTCTAACCAGCCGAAAAACATGTTATCTTGCATAATAGACTGTGATCCCCTCCTTTTAAATCGCCGTTGCTTGTTGGTTTCTTCTGTTTTTACACCTTTTGGACAAATCTGCGTGCCTGACCAAAAAGGCACCTTGAATTTATGGTGCTGAGCTGCTCCTCCAGAAGAGTTTGAAGGCTTCTGGCTCGGCTTTCTGTGTGCAGAGCAGCCTCCCAGCAGCTGTGTAAAGGGTCATTCTGCAACAAGAGGAGATTCTTGCTCAGACATTGTTGTCGTTGGAGGACTCTGTCTAGTTGACAGGGTGGTATTGGGTCATGGGTGGGACTTGATCTCAGAGGTCTTTTCCAACCTGTTTGATTCTGTGACTTGCACATTTTACTTTTACCTCTTTCCCATCCCTTTCTGTAGGTTTCTACTGCCTGGAGGGGTCTGAGGTGCCCACACCGTGTCCTTCCAACACTCTTAGAGATCTTCCAGGGGCTGTGAGGAGGGAGGATTGCCTGCCCTGTCCACCAGGACACTGGTGCAAAGCAGGTTGGAACTCTGGGGTAAATCCTGATGGGAAGGGGTGGGAGTTGCTTTTTAAGAGAGCTGTGTGTATCCCTGAACCTGGTGAGGCTGGATTTGAGGTCAGACATGGCACTGTGGGACACTCTAGTGATGAGTTCTAGTGTCTGCAGAGAAAAGAGGTATTTAACAGTGTTAATACAACATGCTGTTCCAGCAACCACAAATGTTGGAGAGCCTGAGATCACAACCAGTCTCCAAATATCCCTGTCAGAAGAGGTGCTTTGGATGGTGGAGGTGGATTATGAACAGACAGACAGTGCAGTAGCTTAGGAAGGGCCCAGGAGGTCACAAGAAGAACAAAGGTGTTTCGATCACGTGGAAAACGACTCTCTGAATCCTTGTTTTCTGTTTGCCAGGGGACTCCCAGGCCCATCCATGCCCACCAGGACACTACTGCTCTGGGGGGAATGGCAGTGAGCTCGGCAGCCTCGTGGCCCCTCGGCAGTGCCCCCCGCAGACGTTCCGCAGGCAGCCGGGGGCTCGGAGCCCGGCCGACTGCCAGCCCTGCCCTCCAGGGTACCACTGCCCCTTGTCAGGTCAGTGCCAGGGGACAGCCAGCCCTTCCCCACCTCCAGAGCTCATTAGAAAACTCCCTGAGGTGAGGTAGGCAGTCACACCCGCAATTATCTCCAAAACTCCCCCTGGCCTCGCTTTCTTCTCTCCTTTCTCCTCCTCACAGGTCTGACACGGTTTGAGGATTATCCGTGCCCCCCTGGCTACTGGTGCCCTGGTAAAGGGGACACTTTCCTTTGTCCAGCTGGCACTTCCAGGACCCAGCCTGGTGCAAAGTCACTGGAAGAGTGTGATCCCTGCTCACCTGGATATTATTGCCCGGATCCGGCACAGACAGGGCTGCCCAACACCCAGGGAGTGCCTTGCAAACCTGGCTATGAATGCCCAGCAGGTGACAGGACCTTTGGTTTTCTTAATTTCCTTTATTCTCAGCCCTTTCTTAGACTAGCAGGCAGATCAGCAGGCACAGCCATGGCATTTAGCAGTGACCCTGGTCCCATTCTTGCAGCAGCACTCCCAGGACATGGTCACTCCCAGCCCTCCCTTCCTGTTCTCGTTTAGCTGAGGTTGCCAAAGGAAGTTGTCTGGGCCTGGCAAAGGAGTAGATATCTTCATGCACGGCTACACATTGAGGTGTTAGCGTTTTCTGCTAAATAGCAGACTGGTTTCCATCAGATCTGTGCCCTTTTGTGAGCAATAATGTTTATGGACACTTAATAAAACCCCCTTGCTCCTCCTCTCCCCAGCAGGGTCTCGTGTTCTGGGTATGTCACATTATATATCACTGTTCACCCTTTTCCCCCCAGGTTCAGTAAATCCCAAGCCTTGCAGGCCTGGCCTGTACTGTGGTGCTCTCACAGGTGAGCCTTCTGTGTGTCCTGCTGGGTACCACTGCCCCGAGGGATCCTCCACATACAACAGCCCTGAGCAGCTGTGAGTACCTGAAGTGTTGATGCAGCCAGATTTCACTTCCCTAAAAACTCAGATTTGTGCCTGGGATTGAACCTAAAGCACAGTCATTGTGCACTGTGCAAAAGCAAAGGGATCTTTGGAACTGCAGTCCCAGATTTGGTGACTGCTGAGACTGTATGGGGCCATTTATGATTTCTGCTAATTAGCTTGAGCCTGGAATTAGATGAGAACCATTTTTATTATTTTGTCCCCTGTTTGCACTGGTCATTGAGCCCAGAAATCAAACTGGTTTTTTAGAGGCTTTCTCCCCTCTCCCTGCCTTGTTTTGCCTTCCAGGTGTGTGTTTCCATACTACTGCCCCCCTGGCAGTGCCCACCCGGTGCCGTGTGAAGGAGGGTCCATGGCCCTGACCCTGCCTGGCCTGAGGGACTCGTGGGAGAAGTTCTGCAGGGTCTGTGCTGCAGGGACCTACCGCAATGCCCTCCTGCTCACAGCCCCCTGCCAGCCCTGCCCAGCTGGCTTCCTCTGCCCACCAGGTACCTGGGGGAGTGGGGCAAGGAACAGCAGCTCAGGCTGGAAGCAGGGAGCTCTCGGTTCTGTGTGGGCAAAGCTCTGAGCCCTCTGCAGTTATAACACCCTGCCGTGGGCTGCCACGTGGATTTGCCACTGGATTTTTATATACAGATATGTGTATTTATATGTATATATTTGTGTATAAGGGGGATAAGCAGGTGGTCTCTGCCCCTCTCTTAGCACTTGTTGGGGTCCCTAAGCAGTGCCTTTTCTCCAGGCAGTGAGAGCTACCACCAGCAGCCTTGTCCTCGAGGCCACTACTGCCCTTCCCTGGCACCGGCCCCCCTGCCCTGTCCCCCGGGGACCCACGGGAGCAGCCACTTTGGGAAGCACAGAGGGGATTGCCAGCCCTGTCCTGCTGGCACCTTCAACCACCTCCCTGCCCAGCCTGCCTGCTTCCCCTGTGGCAGCTCCTCTTCCTCTCAGCCTGGTGAGTTGCTCTGTGTGTGTGTGTGAGTGAAATTCCACCTCTGTTAAGAGAAAGACTAGTAAGGAAATCACCTAGAAACATGATTGCCTCACATGGTTTCGTGATTTATCACAAGCCCTGCCATCCTCAGGGTGCCAGTGCCCAACTGCTCTTCCTCTGTCCCACCCAGAAAAAGAATTCAGTTTTCCAAGCTGTCTTTTTGTTTCTCTTACACTCTGTTAGCCGAGGGGATTTGAGCTCCTTAAGGGAAGGAAGAGATGAGCAGCTCTACTAATTCTTGCTCTATCATTGCTTTGGAAGCAGTGGAGCTTCACCAGGAGTGCTTTAGCCCTGAACTGGGGAGCTTGTGCTAAGTGTAGGTGTGCTTTTGAGCCAAAACTGGGCGCTGAGGGCATGGAAAAGTGGGAAAAAGGTGGAAAACTGGAAGGTAGGCAGCTGTGCCCAGTGAAGAGTGCACGTGCCTTGCTCAGTGCATGTGCAGCCTCTCCAACCTCTCCTCTCAGGTGCCACCAGCTGTACCTGCCATGGGCTGAACAGGGCTTTCCAGCAGTCAGATGCCTCCTGTATCTGCCAGGCAGGATATGTTTACTATGATGAGAGAGGCAAGAAAGACCCCGACAGCAACAGCGACCAGGACTGTCGACCTCAGGTAAAATCTGGCTTCAAAACAAAATCATTTTGCGCAGGAGAGGGAGAGTAGTTGGCCCAGGCAGTGCTTTGGGCTGAAGACACAAGCAAGCCCTTTTAACTGTTTTTTTGGGGGGGGGGGATTTTTTTGAAGCCTTTGACCCTTCCTGGTACTATAATGGCACTTGATTTCTTTACTAGGACCTTATGAGGCTAAATTTAAATTCATAAAGCGTTGAGGCAAAGGATACTTCCACACCAGGGCAATGGGGAGCAGCACTGTCTCACACAGATGACAAATGCAGGAATTTAAGCCTTCTTACTGTTGATATGAAGTTCCTCATCAGGCTTGCAGGAGGGATTTGGATGGGAGGGGAAATTGCCGTGGTTCTTTCTCCCATATTTTCCAAGCTGTCCTTTAACCTTGTTAAAGGTTGCTTTAGGAACTTCAGTCAGTGCTTCTCACTTTTTGGACTGGATTTCTGTAGAACAGAGATAAAACTTGTCCTCTGTTAGACAGCCCAAGTCTTTGCTGGGCAGTAATTAGACGAGCTGTCAAAACACCAGAGAAGAGCTACAGACGCTCTTTATGTTGAACATCTGAAGCGGCGGGGAGGGAGGGAATTCTGGGGGTGCTCTGGGTTGTTTGACGTGCTGCCTGGTTTTTTCCCACGTGGTGTGGGTGCTGCATTTGCAGGTGGACGAGCTCTGTGCCCCGGGGCAGGTCCGTCTGGCAGCCACGCGACGCTGCGTGGTCCCCGAGCGCCACGACTGCTCCCCGGCATGCGGGAGGGCAGGGGGAGAGCTCCACGCAGAGCTGGGCATGTGAGTCCACTTAGCCCCTCATTACCCACCACTTCACTGCCTTACCAACTGACCCCACGAGCTCCTGGCGGGGCAGGGCCGTGGGAGGTGTTTTTTTGGGAGAGTTTCCACTGATGGAGTCCCTTTCCTGCCCCATTCCTCTGCCTGGAGAGTGAGGGTTGGAAGGGACCTTAAAGATCACAAAGTTCCAACTCCCCTGTCACTGGATCTCCTTCTGGTTGTACAATTATCACTCTTTTTTCTCTTTCTGCACTGGAAAATCTCCTCCTGACACGGGCTACACAGAAATCTAGTGTGTTAAAGTTGTACTGTCTTTCTGTCAACCCTGTTCTTAAAGCTGAACTTTAGGGAGGGGTGTGTAATGCTCTGTTACAGGACTAAGCTGGTCACTATTAGACACCAACCAAACACTGTTAGAGAGAGGGGAGTCACATTTTGACCTTGAATAGCAGGCAAGGTACTGATGGGATGGACAAGGAGTTCATTCCCTTCTGTTTTCCGTGGACATAAAGTAGCCCCACGTGTTATAAGTTGTAGGATACTGGGTCTATCCTGACCCTCAGTGTGTTGTAGCTCAGGGGTCACGACTGATCAGGGCCTTTTGTCCACTTGGCAGCTGTCACTGCAAGCAGTACATCTCTGCTGAGGAGCTCTGTGACCAGCTGTGCCTGCTGAGAGCCCCTCGCATCTCCCTGGCATTTGGCATCAACAGGGAGCTGCTCCTGAGGATGAACGAAGGAGAAGTGAGGGTAGGTTTGGGGGGGGAAGGGATTGCTTCCTCAGCAGGCAGGTCTGCAGAGAGCTCTCTGCAGACATCACACCCTGCTAAAGGGACTCGTGGGCCCTGAAGTTACAGGGTTGATGCTTCACAGAGAAATGACAGTTCCTGAACTGTGGGGAAACAGCCTCACTAGGGAAATCTTGCACAGCTGCAGTTAAGCCTGGTCACAAACCAGGATCTGAGTCCAGTGCTGATTGTATTAGTGACTAGTGTTTCCCTCTGCTTCCCAAAGGAAGTGGCAAATGTCCTGGGCCCGGATGAACACGTGCAGAACAGCCAGAGGGTGCACTTGGTCCTGTTCAGCCCCAGTGGAGTGCTGGGTTTCATTGTCTCCAGCACAGATGTCCTGGATGCATTTCTCATGGGTAAGGCTGGAGAGCCCCTGAGAGTGAACCTGAATTCCAGCCAGATCGAGCCATTTGTTTCCTTTCAAGTTGGCACAGTGGGAATTTATTATCAGATGCTCCAAACTATTTAGAAAGTAGGGAGATACCTTGTTCTGACTGGGATTAAACAGTGAGGAACTGCACTGACTGCATGGTTAGCTCCCTGGGAATGGGTCAAATAAAGATTGCAGGATGCTTTTGGATTTCCAAGAACTAGGGAGAAACCCCATTTGGAGGCAAATCTGTTGGCAGCTGTGTGCTGGCTCCTGATTTCATTTGCTCCTCAAATTGGGGTGGTGTGACTGAGAGCAGAATTTGGCCTTGTGAGCTGTAATTGCCCACAGGCACAAAATAAATAGCTCTTGCCAAGGGTTGGGTGTCTTCACATGCTGCTCATTTTGTAGGATCCATTTTGGTTTGTTCTGTTGCCTGGCAGGAGATTTTCCATCAAGTCAGCTGCTGCAGAAAGGTCATCGATTCCAGAGGGCTTCCTCCAAAGATACCCAGGCCTTGCCCCTGGTTCCCAACCCTGTGGTGTGTTTGGAAGCAGGAGACACGATCCTTTTCCAGCTCAGCATCGATTCCCAGGGTGAGTGTTGCTGGATCTTGCAGATCTGTGTGTCCAGACCCGTTCAGAGCAGTGACTCCACATTTGCCTGTGTGAGCACATCCCTTCCCATCCCTGCTCTCTTGCCTTCAGGGGATCCCAGAACTGCAGTCTGGGCTCTGACAGGGGCTTACCTCATGGTTTTCACTTCCCAGATCGTGCATCCAGCCACTACCCTGTGTATCAGAAGCAGCATCTCTATAATAGCAACCCCAGCTGGGATTTTGGACCCTTTCGAAGGCTAAACCACCTCGTCCAGGAGACTCACCTCAACCTCTCCTGGTAATGCCTGCTGTGGATGACAGTGCTTGTGTTTACTCACTCCCCAATCCTGGGTGCTATCCTGGGATTTGGGAGTGAGCCTTGGATGGAATCAGTAGCTCCTTGGCAGTGAAAACATCAAATATGTGTTCAAATAATGTTTCTTTACCACCATCGCAGCTGGAGGCCAAAGGAGACTTGGATCAACCCAGGGCCTTCTTGGCTTCCCTCTTTCAGGTTTGCCCATGTTTTCCTGGAGTCTGGCACGTATGTTTTCAGGGATAGCACTGTCCAGGAGCGCTTCCTGATTGTGAGTGTGAATGAAGCCAACGTGAGCTGTGACCCCAGAGCTGTGCCCTTCCAGCCCTCCTCTCTGTTCCAGCTGGCCAGACATGGGGTTTTGAAGCAACAGGGTCTGAACTTGGCTCCCAATTGGGCTGCTATCGCAGGTACAGCCAAAACACTGGGACACCAACCTTGAGGCTTAGCTGTGACCTTTCTTGTACTTCTTGAAGTGTGTTTAAAGAAGCATTTTCTTTGAAAACACCATCAAACAACTGGCTTTGTCAGCTTTAATCCTATTCTCTTGTGGAGTTCCCCAAAGTTCACTGCTCTCTAGCCAAGAACCTGCCTGTGGAGGAGCTCAAGTGGTGAGAGAGGGAAGGAGCAGTTGTGTTTCACCCCACACCCTGCTCGAAGAATTCAAGTAATTGAGGGTGTTTTGTTTTCCTTGGCTGGAAAGCAGAAAGTGACACCGTGTTTTCCATGATAAACTAAACTGAAGTTAAATACATCATTTGAAAGTTGACTGAAGGCTGAACACGAGGTCAGTTGAGGTCTTTCCTCAAAGCCAGGCCTCTGTGTGAGTGCTTTGCACATACCAGTCCATCAGTAAACAATAGAAATGAAAGTGTGGCTTGCAGGTGTGATCCTTGGCTGTGTCCCCTCAGAAAACACTTTGCTCCTGGCCTGATGCACCAACACCAACAGGGGGAAAGCAGAAGCCCCTGTAATCAATATGAAAGCTGCTCAGGGTTGGGTTTGGGCAGGATACACGAGAGTTTCTATGTTTCTCATCTTCTTGCCATCCCTCTCTGCTTCCCCAGCCACCCTCTTTGTTCTGGGCTCCTTCGTTGTGGTGCTGACAACCCTGGCCATAGTGTTCCAGCCTGCTGGCTCTGCCAGCAGCCCCCTGAAGGGCTGGAAGCCACGCTGGAGGAGCCTGGGTGAGCCACACATCCCACCAGAGTACATCCTCCTTAAGGACAGGTAAAGCCCCTTTGCATGGTAGGTATGAAAGTCCAGACAGGAAATCTGTCCTCCTGCTTGAGCTGGGCTGGTGGTGCTGCAGGATCTGATATTGCTGAGAAGAATGAGGTGCTCTTCACCCTCTTCTGTCACTCCCTCTAGCCTTCAGTTTTATCAGATGCTTGGTCCTCGTGGCTCTGGAGGAGATGCTGCTTCTGGAGAGAAAGGAACAGTCTCTAATGCAGGTGAAGTGCTGGGCCAACCCCAGCTGGCTTCTTCCCACTTACTGCCCACTTTGTTGTCCTGTGTTAACTCTCTGGCATGATATTTGGCTCCCTGCTCACCCAGGGCACACCCCTGAGGTCACACAGGCACTTTGGGGGCTGTGCACTCCCGTGTGTGTGCACATTTACACACTGCCCTTCTGGATCTCTTTGGTCTCCTCAGTTAGGCAGGGTAACCCCTCTGATTGGAATGGGGGGGGAGTTTTTTCCCTTAGGAGAGGAATTCCCAGCGCTAAGAAACGGCAGCAAACTGAAATGACTGGTAAAGAAAATAAAATCTTTACAAATATTTCCCTTGGCTGCTTCTGCTGGTCCTTCTATTATCAGAAGGAAAGTCACTCCTGGGCTGTGTTTGCTTTCTGGGAATGACCTCATCTTGGGAATTTTGGGGTGTTGAGAGGGAACAGCAGATGGCAGCAGGAAGTGGTGCTGGGAACAGCTCTGAGAGCAGCAGCATCCTGAGTTTCCTGGGCGAGTCGGGAGCTGATAGTAACGCTCTGTCACCCTCCCCCTCGCCACCTCCCGCCTCATCCACTTTCCTTCCTCACAGAGCACGGAATTCTGTTGTCCCCCCTGGGAAATCAAGTCCGTGGCCAGCGTTTGAGTGCGAGTGTGAGCCCTTGTGTTTCAGGAGAGCCCTTGGCACGGAGGGTCCTGGAGGATTTCAGCGTTCGCACCCTCTATGACAAGCTGGAGGACCAGAATTTGCACGTGGCATCCCAGCTGGCAAAGCACAGGATGGATGTGCTGGGCTTTTACAACGGGATCAGCCACCACCTTCAGAGCCTTGTGGTCAGTGGGAAGAAAGATTTGAGGGAAGGGTGTCTTGGAAACGTGACATTTGTAAGAAAAATAGTCCCCCTGAAGCCAGAGTTTATTGAGGGGTGTGTCTTAGTCCTTCCAGTACGTTATTCTGGCATAAACCAGTTCTATATAGTTTAAATAGTTTATATAGTTAAGTTTATCTAGTTTATATAGTTAGTTAATAGTTTGTATAGTTTAAATAGGTTTTATATGGGAGGCAGAATGTGGAATGGGTGGATTGCAGGGTGTAACATTGCTAGCAGAGTATAACAGAGTATAACACTGCTGCTCTCTGTGAACAGGACATGGTGCAAGCACTAGACCCTGACACCCTGAAAACCTTTGCCAGGCAAAGGATTTGTGGGCACAAACCTGCAGACAGCAGAGGGGCAGCAGAGGCTGCTGAACAGTGTGCTGAGCACTGTGGCAACACCTTCCAGCCAGGTGAGAGGCCCAGAGTGCAAGAGTGAACAGGTTAAAAAAAAAAGAGCTGGCTCAAACACACAGAGATCTCACAAGGTTGTGTCTTTCAGTGTTGTTCTGTCTGTCTTCATCTCAGTTGAGTGAGAGGAGAGCTCTCCTCTCCTCTCTGTCAGCTCAGGAAGAGACAAACACACATTTATTGGGAAATGTTGTACAATGTGAGGCACCTGGTGACATTTCCAGAGAAAGGTTCCTGCTCTTGGTTTTGTTCTGGGTGTAGTTGTGGTTCTGCTGAAGCCCATTTAAATGGTTTATCAGGTTCATTAGGTGCTCCATGGCAGGAAGTGAGAGAGTTAATGAAAGCTCTGGAAGTGCTGCTTGGGAATGGTCCCTGCAGGAATGGAGCTGTGAAAGGAGAGATGGAGCACAAGGTCCAAGCACAGGATGCACTGGAAGTTGTGCCCTCCCTGGGCAGCCTGGCCAGTGACAATAAATCAGAAGTAGTGGAAGGGCAGGTGAGTTGCAGGTGTCTGTTGTTGTCCCATCTTTCACCTTCCTGCTGGTTTTTCCCATTTCTTTAACTCTTGGGCCCTTTTTTATCCCACAGGATCATGAGCTGCCTCAGCAGTGTGAGCTCTTCATCAGGAAAGATGCTTTTTTCAGCTTCCCTGGATGTGAAGAGCAAGGTAAGGGCAGTGCCATGGGTGCTTTCAGAGATCACAAAGAGGGCTGACTCAGTGAAGTCCTTTCATTACACTAATTAAATTCCAATATGGGGAGGTCAGGAAGATTCTACACCATCAGTTCTGTGCTCCCCACAGCCTCTGGTTGGGTGTTCTCTCTGCTCAGTGCAATATTTCCTTCCTGTAGCCATCCAGGAATGAAAAACCTCTTCCTTCAGGCTTAAAAGTATCCCCATTTCTCCAAGGTTTAGATCTCCAGTTGCCTTATCTGTTTGAGTTGGAGGTGGAGGGCCTGGTAGCAGCTTCTCCCCTTGCCAAGACCCTGTATGAGATCAAGCAAGCCTTGGTGAATCTGCAGGAACCTTCAGACTTTGGTAATCCAGGTAATAAATCTTAGTCTGACTGCAGTTTCTGTTTGTGATAGAAGATTTCCCAGGTAGAGAAGTTATTTCTTGGTGCCCGATAAGCACCAATATCTGCTGTAGTTCCTTAGAAAGAATTCATCAGAAGGTCAATGAGCAGACAAAAATGCTTGCCTAATTCACACATATAGATTGGTTTCCTTCTTCCTTCCACTGAATTAATTTATTGATTTGTTGTCATCATGAAAGGTTTCTGGGGAAAGTTGTACAGCCAGGATCTGCGATCTTAGGAACCAATTTACCAGCATGAGAGTAAGGCAGCTGGTTTTCTTCATGTGCACTGGCTTATAGCAGTAAATGAAGAGTTAAAATAACCAGGATGTCTTCTGAACTGAACATTTTTCTCAAGCAGTTGCTGAATTTTTAGGCTGTGACGCTCAGAGTTTGAAATTAATAATGGTGTGGGTTTGGTGTAATTATGGGTGGATCATTTGCATTATTTTGCAATTCAGATCCAGGGGGTTTGCAAAGGCCTGGATGTGAACAGACCCTCGAGTCCCTGGGCAGGGATCAGTGCTGGCTGTGGGTCCTGGCCTGGGTTGTGCCCTGTGGATTAGGGGTGGCCCAGCATTTCCACTCTGCCCTCATTTTGAATTTCTCTGACAGACAGCGAACATCAAACAAGCGTGGGGAGCTCAGCCCTCCTCTGAGCTACAGACAGGGAGGAAGCTCTGCTGCTGGCATGGAGAGGAGCTGCACTGCTCACAGGACTGAAGAGACAGAAGCAGAAGCATTTCATCCTCTGCACAGTAAAATAACCACCGACTCACTTCCTTGAGGAACCTTATCCCTGGCACTGACTAAAGTTGGACTGAAGTGTGTGTGTGTGTGTCTGAGGACAGAGCTGCTTTACCTGAAATATCACAGTAGATTTGTATTTAATTAAGGATGTATTTGGTCAAATGCATCATGAGTAATCCATATTCTGTTTGCTTAACCTTGAAATACTTTCACACTCGTCTTGGATTATCAGTAATTTGTCAGGTGGAGAAGGAAGCTGAGCTTCTTGATGTCACTGATTTTATAGTTCTCTTTATTAAGTCAGTAAAGCAGAAAACATAGGACCACAGATGGCATATATACAGTATATTCTGTACAGCTTTTGTGATCTCTGATATGAAGGATGTCTGTGACTTTTTCAAGTATTTTAGAGCCACACTTTTATAAGCTTGCCCAGCATCTCTACATGTTTTCAGTACACTCATGCTGATCTCAGTAAGTTCTACTGGCAGACACCCTCAGGGTCTCTACAGATGTGATTTTTCTGAGCAAAGAAGACAATTAAATTATTCCTGTAGCAGTGACTGCAGGGATCGGTGTAGCTGCTGAAGTCCAACTGAAAAAAAACATCCTTCCTACCATTCTGCTCCTCCTGACCTGTCCCTGTGAGGGCAGGAGAGCCTGGCTGTGAAGGGAGGGGGCATTGTTTCTGTGGAACAGGAGCAGAATCACCTGCTCCATCCTCACAATACTCCTCAGCTCCGGGTGAGGAGCAGCAACACAAGATCTGCTGACTGTGAGCCAGCACAGTCCCTTGGCAACACCCCCCTGGGTGGGATTCAGCTCCCCCAGCAGAGCCTGTTTTCTTCTCACTGCAATATTTACTGACTTGCTTATGTGTGGAGAGGTTTGTGACCCTGCTCCTTCCTGGTTCCTAGACACAAATCCATGTTTGCTCCTTCTGCCTTTGCATAACCACGGGGGGTGTGAAGAGAGTGGTTGTCCAGGAGCCAAGACAGAAGCTCTCAGGTTTGCTTCTCACTGACAGGCGTGTCTGGTGGATCCAGAGGAGCTGCAGGGGGTGTCTTTTTTTGGCCCTCATCTACTCATTTTGCTGGATCCAAAACCGAAAGGTTTGTTGGAGTTCTTTTGCAGCTTCACCTTGGGAGAATTTAGGTGCTTTACTGATACTTGGAAGGGGCTTTCAGAAAACACAAACAGTGCAGAGCACCTGCAGGTCACTGTGGCTGGCTGTTGTAGAATGTAGTAGTGAAAAAAAAAAAAAAACTGTAGTTGCTTTCTTCACTGCTTTCTTTTTTTAGGTTATCAGCAGATATGTTTGTAACAGTCCTACATGGAGGTAAGAGCCTGCAGTGCTTGCTCTCTCTGATATCCACAGGGAAACGTGGTACCCAGCAGGTGATAAAGTTATCTCTGGGGATTTGGGGTTCTATTTGTAAAAGGCAGGGTGGAAGGCAGTAGTAAATACAATTTGTCACATTTTTATTGTAGCAGTTTCTCAATGAAAATGTTGTTTTGTTTTAAATAAAAAAAAAAAAAAAAAGATACTCATGTGGAATTTTGCTCAAAGTTGGTATTTTGGTATTATTTTTCCACCACTGTGGTTTTCTTAACAAACACACTTCAGTTTTAAGTAAACAACTCGGTTTCAAAACGTTTTGGGTTTGTTTGTTTGTTGTTTTTTCCCTACCAAACCAAAGAATATCAATGAAAAGAGCAGAGTCTCACAGTGTGTCTCTTCATGCTCGGTTAATAATCCCTTGGAAAGGACAAATAAAAACGAGGAGTGGTGCAATCATCGGATTCATCCTGCTTCTGAAGTATTTATTATTGGTAGCTCATTTTATAGTGTTATATAGAATCTCCTGGAAGTCCAGCACTGTCTGGAGTAGCTGTGAAGTCTCCTCACATGTAAAGGGTGCTGGCTCCCTGGAACTGCTGATAAGAGTGATGGAGTGCAGGGTCACTGAACTTGGTGTTTGGAGATGGGTCAGAGGGCTGATGCTTTTTCTTTGGCTGCCTTGACTTGTGCCTCTCTTAACAGAAAATGAAAAGGCCCTTTTCAGCACTCAGTGTGGAGTTCTGCCTCTCTTGGAGAGCATCAAACGCTGCTGTGGCTGTGAGAAGGAAGGGTTGGTTGGGGTCCCTGAGAAGGAACCTCTTTGGTTTAGTGCTGTGTGTGGCTCTGAGGTCTGAAATGAGCTTCTGCTGATCCAAGTTCCAGTGTGAAGCTGTGGCTGAGCCTCTCAGTGTGTTCCTGATGGTGTTTTGTGGCCCTTCCAGAGGCTGCCCCTGGCTGTGCTCATCCCCTGGTTAATCCTTCCTCTGACACTCTCAGGAATGGAGCCTTTAAATGCTGTGAGAATGAAAGGCCCAATGAAAATATCTGATGGAAGTATATATATGTCCAATGAAGATATTTTGAGCTCCTGAATCCCAGAACTCAATTAAAATGCTCCCAGATTTGGGGTATTTTCTTTGCATAGCTGACATGTCTCTTGTTTCATTGCCAAAGCTCTTTGTAGCTTCCTGCCCTGGAATCCTTGCCTTCTGTGTGCTTCCAGGTGAAGTTTCTTTTGAAAGGTTCTGGCTTTCATACCATGCTTTTATCCTGTGCAGGAGAGGAAGGTTCCCAAGCAGCTTTTTCTACCCTACTGCTGAAAGACCATAGCATTGTCACTCCAAAGTTCCTGGGTATGAGCCTGAGGTAAATGTTTCTGTAACCTTGGTCTCAAACATGAGAGGAGAGAATAACCTGTTACTTGTGAGGAGTAAAAGCCCGAAGTAAAGAGGGCTTTTTTTTTAATTTATAGTAAAAATGGGAAATATATTTTATTTTTCCAGAAGTAAAAAACTATAAAAGAAGGACAAAATGCTTCTTAATCTCTTTGCATTGTGTGTGAAGTCCTGGAGTTGGGGATGATGGGGCATGCACATGGAAGTACAAGAATTATGTGGGATCTTCTCTTTTCTCTCTGCAGCTCAACTGAAGAAGTGTGAAGATTCCAAAGTTTCACCAGCCAGAGCTGAAAACCTAGAAAATCTGGCCAAAAAGCCAAGCTGCTTTTGGAAGTCCCATCCCCAGGTGAGCCCCTGACCTGAATGAAACCAGTGCTTGACCTGTTTTTGGGTCCCCTAGCACTGTCCACGAGCTTGTTGTGTTTCTACCACAGGTAAAAGGAGTCGTTCACCACAGGCCAACAGGAATAAAACCAGGGGAAAAAAAAAAAAAACTTCCTAAGGAACTGGGAGACACCAGTAGTGGCAGAGGGAAGGAGCTGCTTTGGTGCTGAGCTCTGGAGGCCACCTCGATGTGTTGGTTTATTCCTTGATGACACACTGAATTCATGGGGTTTTTGCCAGAAGCTTCATTTCTGAGCAAACAGTCCACTGACCTAGTTCAGCAGGGAATGAGTTTGGAGCCAGGGAAATGCCCAGCGGCTTTGATCCTCGCAGACACTGGGTGAATCACAGACGTTGGCAGGAGGACAAGCTGCAGCCCCAAGTGGGTTTATCTTTGACACAGTAGTTTTGTTTCTGGAAACGTTGAAGTGTTCAATTAACAAGCTGCTAGTAATTTTAGCTTTGATTTCATAGCTGCCAGAAATAACTTCATAGCTCCTGAGATAGCTCATATCTTCATGGGATGGACCCTGTCCCATCTTACACAGACCTGTTGATTCATCAGTCCTGCTGATTTGCTGTGCTGAGCACTTGTATATGAACCACAATGGGAAACATATTAAAGCTGTGTGTAAAAATGCTGATCATCTTGCAAAACCTATAGATTTGAATTCTTCTTGCTCAAGGTTCCTATTAAAAAATAAAAAAAGGCTGTAAAACCTAATCACCAGGAGCAGGACTTTTCTCTCTACAACACCCAGTGGTACATTGATCTCAGATAAATTCACAGACAGGTTCAAACTTGCAGCACTTGGTTTTTATGCTGAAAATATTTTGAATTCAACAAAAACTTCTCCAAAATGTAGTTTTTAACTGTGGCCCCCAAATAAGCAAAGAGTTGTTGGGACTCCTCAGTGAGATTCACATGCAGTGAGAATCACTTGTGCCTGCTTTTGTGAGAACTCTTCAGCAATCTTGGAAGAATTTAGTGGCTCATGGGAAAGTGGTGTTGTATTTTCAGCAAAGAACTGATGCCCAAGGGAAGAAATTAGGCAGGACAAAATCTTGTCTTTGAGTAAGTCAGGTGTCCAGTCATTAGGAGAACTGGAAGAAACTTGAACTGAGGAAGAAAAAACTTGGTTTTCCTTGTTGCCCTTTACTGACTTGGGAGTATTAGACCCTGAAAAAGAGAGACCTGGAAATTCCACTTATATCCACCAAAAGGAATAGGCATCGATTCCCCATCTCCCCCTCACCCATCTGTCAGCCGGTGGAAGTTCTGACAAATCAAAGCCCAAAAATACCACAGAATGTGCACTGTTCCCTGTGGGAAATCTGCTGCAGCCCATCACTCCCACACCTTGGAGCCACCAAGCAAACAGCTCTTTTTACTTTGCCATTCCCCAACCACACCTGCGCTATTCCCATGGGGAGAAGAGCTGCTAATGAGCCCATTCCTTGGGAGGAAAACCTGCCAAGGCAAACACAGATAAAGTGAAGAACGTGGCACTGGGGAAAGCTGGTGGTTTCCATGAGCCCAGCTCTTGCTAAACCCTCCTGGAGAGCCCGAAGTGCCCGGGTCTGACCTTTGCGAGCGGCGCCGGGGAGGCGACAGCCGGGTTGTGGTCAGCAGGGAAGTCAACACCTTGTGTGGGTCAAAGGCCTCTTGTGGCCCTGGGTGGTGAGGTCAGACGCTTCCTGGCAGGTCAAACTGCTCTCCAAAGCCTCTTGCCCGAAGCACTGAGCTCTCCAGGATCCCCAGGCTGAGCAGAGTCGTGGAATATTGCGAGTTGGAAGGGACCCCCAAGGGTCATCGAGTGCAGCTCTTGAGTGAATGGCCTGGAAGGCTGAGGACAGGAAGGGTGGATGACCCAGACCTGGAGAACCTGGGCCAACAACCCTTTGGAAAAGGGCCACCTGATGAACATGCTCACAAGTGATACCAGAGGGGGGATTGTGGGCTGGATTTACATCACAACACTGACTGCAGGAGTTAGAAACTGGAACTATAAAAAGACCTGATTCTCTCTTGTTACGTGCTGCTGGGAAGTTGGATTTACTCCATAAACATGAAATTTTGATGTATTTTGCTATAAATGAGGTCAGGACCTGGGGGGGTTTCTTTGGTCTTGTCAGAGGAGCCAGAGTTAATTTTTTTCTCCTCTAGCAAAAGAAGAGTTGTACACTCAGTAAACAATCCTTTGACCTCTTTCCTGGGGAAACAATTTTAAATTTAAGATGTAAATGTTATTTGATCCATAATAAGTCCACCAGCAAATGTCTCCCATCAATGATTTACCACCCTAAGGAGTTTTCCTGCAGTGTATTTACCTGTGTTTTGTAGGTCAGCAGTAACAAAGAACGAGGAAGACTTTTTGTAGTGTTATAAATCCTTTGCTTACCTTGGCTTCTCCACCCTCTCTTAACAAACTGCAGCTCCAAACCCCTT